ATCCAATCGTCTATGGCCTTGAGACTAGACTGTCGTAACGCATTCACCCCACCCCTCTCACCACTCACCATCAACGCTGTTTTACTGTATAATTTTATTTTTGGTTTTCGTACCCATATACACGTGCGTGTCATCAATATTATATATATATAAACAAATTTTTATTTTGACTGACCAATACCTCCCGCGTGCCATACGCCTTACGTATATATATATATATTTATATATATATTCCTACCACCGCTGCTGCCGTTTATACCTAAGGTATAATGTTTCTTCGTCCCGCCCGCCAACAAAACACGGCTATAACTAGTGTATGATACGTTTACGTACTCAAATCACTTTACATGTATATATATATATATATATATTTACTTGTTATTATAAAATTTCCTGATTCAAAAGTTAAGTTGAAAAAGTTGCCATTTTGAAACCCTTTTCTGTGGGCTGGTAAGGGGTCAAACGTTCATAAAAATATATCAAATGATAGGTAAATACCTAAGGTATTTATAAAAAAAAATTTATAATGATTTGCTCATTTTTAAAAAAAGTTATGGCAGTTTTAAATATAAAAAAAACGGTAGCACAGTGAGGTCCAGGCACAGTGTGGACGAGGCATAGATGGGACAAGTATAGATGATATCTGACAGTGATTAAAATCACTATCATAAGAAACGCTTCGATGCAAATCTGTAGATAGTGTTTCCTTTAGAGAAATTGGTGAAATATTTTAAAAGCAACATGAACTCTTATTTCTTTAATTATATCCTGATTAGTAGTTCTTTGATTTTAAAATATAATATATGAATAAATACTAATTATAGTTTTTAAATTTAGTATGAAATTGTGAGGCCAGCTATGATGTATGGTTCATAGTGTTGGGCGATTGATAAGAAAGTAGAGCAGAGAATAAGTGTAGCAGAGATGAGAATGCTTAGTTGATGAGTGGAGTGACTAGAGAAGATAGGATAAGGAACGAGCATTTAAAAGGAAGTATAGGTGTTGCGTCAATCGTGGATATGATGACAGAAAAAAGACTTAGATTGTTTAGTCATGTTATGAAGAGAAAAGAATGGGAAGCTGTAAGAACAGTTATAGAAATGAATGTTGAAGGAAGAAGAGATCCAAAAAAGAGATGGAGGGATGCTATTGAATGCGATTTGAGGACAGCTGATGTGAGTGTAGAAGATGTGGGAGATCGAGCTNGACAGCTGATGTGAGCGTAGAAGATGTGGGAGATCGTGTCAAGTGGAAGCTTAGGATAAGGGTGGCCGACCCCAAGTAGTTGGGATTAAGGCAAAGAAAAAGAAAAATATTACCAGAAATTCCGGTGGCAATTGACATAATATGATTGTTGTTTCGGAATGTACAATTTAGCGTTTAGTTGGGTTTAAATAATATAGCGTCAAATCAATTACCTACTCTATCGCTTGTATATTAATATACACTACACTTTAATGATACAATAAATAAATAAACTCACACATACACACATATGCATTTATAACATTGTGTCTAATGTAAGTGTAAAGTGTAATGATAAAAAGTAACCGTAAAATGAAAAAAAAATGGAATATAAATTTTAGTACTCATATTAAATGTAATGTAACTCGAAAAATATTTGTTTAAATGAAAGAATATAAGATAATTTTTTTGTTTATAATTGTCGTTTAAACAACTTTTGTACGAAACTTTTTTTTGTAAGTTAAATATTTTTTGAGAAAATTAAAAAAGCTCATATTTTGAACTTTTGCGAGGCTGTAAAAAAAAAGCTCAATTCCAATCTTGAGGACTATTAGTATGCCATTATACATATTTTAATTCAACTTTTAAAAAACAAAATTTGTTTGGAAATTTTTTCCGCAATTTTTCCTTTGTTGACTTGCCTAGATGTCAATTTTAAACTTGTAATTAAGCTAAAAGTTATGGTAATACAGGGTGATTTTTTTATCCTAACCCACTCAATTACTTGCAGAATAATAATAATTTAAACATTTTTTTTTTTTCATTATCTTTAGTTACACATTATTCTTGAATTTTTAACTATGTAATACTTTTTAAGTTCATCCCTTATGCCTTGTAAGGGGGTCAACTTTGTTTTTTTAAATGGTAACACATATTTTTAATTTAATAAAATGTTTGAGTTTTTAATTTAATAGTAAATGGCATTTGAATTTTTAATATAACTTAATTCGTTTGTTAGATATAATCATTTAAAGTTTCAAATTTTTGAGTTAATATATAGGTATAATACACAAGGGATAACAAATATAGGTAGCTAATTGGTTTTTTATGTCATTGCTGTCACATTCACGAATTGTTTATTATCAATTATGACTACCAATAGATATACTTTTTGTATTGTAAGTTAGTGTATTTATAAACTTACAACAATGTACCTTACTATCATTGATAATAACAATGCTCTGTACCTGCTAATATCGATGTCATAAAAAACCAATTAGCTACCTGTATTTGTAAACCCTTGTGTATTATACATGTATATTAACTCAAAAATTTGAAACTTTAAATGATTATATCTAATAAGCTGAGATTAAGCGTTCACAGACACACACAAAAAAAAACATATCATAGTAAAATTAATATCTTCTCAGCTTCGCATCGAAGATAAAAACAGTTGATACGGTAAATCATAAACTATTACTATATAATTTAAGTAAAATAGCAGCAAGTGGAAAATTTAAAAAATGAATATTATCGTATTTAACTAAAAGAACTCAATTGGTTATAGTAGGTAATGAAATATCAAAACCTATTACCGTTAGTTCGTCTAATTAAAAAGCTAAATGATTGTTATAAGTTACAATATGATTTAAATAGTTTTGTTGATTGGTGTGATAAAGATAGACTGTCGGTTAATGTTGGCAAATGTAAACTTATATCATTTTATTATAATCGTAACCCAGTTGTTTATCGTTAAGCTGTTAATAGTGAATAATAAGAGATTTAGGAGTTATTCTCTCTTCTGATTTTGCTTTTAATAATCATATTGATTATTTGCTCTAAAGCTCTTAAAAATTTAGGCTTTATTAAATGAAATTACATTTACTTTTAGAATATTAACTGCATAATAACACCATATTCTGCTTTAGTTCGATCTGACTTGGAATTTGGTGCAGTATGAATCCACATAGGTCTGAACGATAAAATAGAAAAAATTCAAAGTGTTTTGTTTTTAGCTTTCAATCTTAATATGTCAGGTAGTCAAATAACTGATAATAAAAAACATTTGATTTCCTTAAGCTCGACGTAAATATATTGATATTGCATTTATTTTTTAAATTATTAATGGTCTGGTTTATGTCCAGAAATTTTAAAAAAATTTAAATTTAAAATACCGAATTTAAATACATGAAATCATGATGTTTTTTGTATGATCCATATAAATCAATAAATCTAATTTTGTTTTAAATAGCTCAATTTATCTCACATTAAAAATGTGTTATAATTTGTTAAATTTTTATTTTAACTTTGATTCTATTAATAACTCAAACATGTATATTATAAATTTACTACAATTTTATTTGTTAAATGTTTACTTATTTTAAATTCCTGTAAAGTTTCTTTGTTTGTATATTTACTCTTGCCCTTGCAGGTGTAATAATAATAATAAAACAGAAATTAAACTTAACTCAATAGTATTTTTAATAAAAATTAATATAAAAGAAAACACATCCATATTCGTTGGAGCTCTTACATGCCACTACACGGTATACACATACACTAACTTAATTGTTAAAAATGTCATATTGTATTTTATAAATCACCAATTTTCCCCTTTCTTTTACTTTATTTTTAAGTTAACCCCATGTTTGAACAAGTTGCATACCAACACGCAATCAGCTGATTGACGGCTTATCAATCCACCTGGGACAAATATTTAGAACACTTTAAAGTTTACGACGGGGGTAAACCGGTCTGTGTGTCTAGCTGCCTGACGTATTGGACGAAATTGCTATGGACTGACGATAATGATCAGATGGTGTTGGTAGTAGTACGCACGTTTTGTGTACGATTGATGAGTTGTTCCATGGAATTTTTGCTGACTCGTGTCCAGTAATATAACGGTGGTTCATTTTTCGTGTTGTTCTCTGGCCCATCGCTATTTCGTTGCAAATCTTTCAATTGTCAATTGCTATGTTTTTATCATATCCATAAAATCTAGATACTTTTTCTTATAATATATAAATTTTACATATTTAACTAGCTTATAAAATAAAAAATAATCTAATAAAGAAAATGACTAGTCGTTAACGACTTTTGGACCAGCACTTCGGAAGTTATTTACATTTTAAATCTAGGTTAGAGGAATTGTGTTGAGAAATTGATTTTTTTAAATGTTTCAATAGCAACCCGCTTCAAACATTTTAGAAACTCTATTAAAAGAATTTTATTTCTTCAGTATTACAGTTATTGCAATTAGTTTTGAATAAGAATAGCTTTTATTTTTTATTATTGTAAGAACGTCAATATATTTATTTTTTTCCTAAACATCCTATTCTTACAACCGAATTTTTTTGAAAAAAATCTAAACGCCAACTTCTTGTTAAATTTTGCTTGTTAACATCAACACTATTAATACTCTCTCATACTAATATGAGATTCTCCATGGGATATTTTTTTTTTAACAAAACGATTTTTAAGATGTAATCTAAGTATTCCTATTTCCTCATAGGAAAACAATAAGTCTATGCAATTTTGAATTAAATTATTCCCTAATTTTTTAGGAGTCTAATAGTTTTGGTATTTAAAAAAGGGATGATGATATAGTTATAGAGTCATAAGTAAGATATGTTTAATGATAAAAAAAAATAATAACTGAGCAATTCGTTTAGTCATATTGTAATTTTTAATTAAATTAATGAAATTGAGCAAACGAACATTGTTATTGAACTGGTACTTTCTTTAATAGATATATTTTAGTAATCTAGATAAAATTATAAAACAACAAAAATTAATTAATAATTACTCTTATTTAGCAAATGAAAATAGATATTCAGATGACCAAAATATATGCCCATTTGAAAAAGGTACGACGAGATATGCTGCTGCAAATGGTGATTTAGATACATTAAAATTGGCACATGAGAGTGGATGTGATTGGGATGAATATACACTTACTGGAGCTGCTGTGAATGGGCAATTAGAATGCTTAATATATGCACATAAAAATGGCTGTAAATGGGATAAACATACAACAAAGGCTGCTGCTGAAAATGGGCATTTAGAGTGTTTAAAATATGCACACGAAAACGGATGTCTATGGGATGAAAATACAACAAGAGTTGCTGCTGCAAATGGGCATTTAGAATGCTTAATATATGCACATGAAAATGAGTGTCCATGGGATGAAACGACAACAGAAGCAGCTGCAAATTATGGTAATTTAGAAAACTTAAAATATATCAAAGTAAATGGATGTAAATGGGATGAAAGGACAACAAGGGCTGCTGCTGTAAATGGACATTTAGAATGCTTAATATATGCACATGAAAATAAATGTCCATGGGATGAAAGGACAATAAGGGCTGCTGCTGCAAATGGACATTTAGAATGCTTAATATATGCACATAAAAACGGATGTCCATGGGATGAAAGGACAACAGAAGCAGCTTCAAAATATGGTAATTTAGAAAACTTAAAATATATTAAAGAAAATGGATGTAAATGGGATGAAAGGACAACAAGGGCTGCTGCTGTAAATGGACATTTAGAATGCTTAATATATGCACATGAAAATAAATGTCCATGGGATGAAAGGACAATAAGGGCTGCTGCTGCAAATGGACATTTAGAATGCTTAATATATGCACATAAAAACGGATGTCCATGGGATGAAAGGACAACAGAAGCAGCTTCAAAATATGGTAATTTAGAAAACTTAAAATATATTAAAGAAAATGGATGTAAATGGGATGAAAGGACAACAAGGGCTGCTGCTGTAAATGGACATTTAGAATGCTTAATATATGCACATGAAAATAAATGTCCATGGGATGAAAGGACAATAAGGGCTGCTGCTGCAAATGGACATTTAGAATGCTTAATATATGCACATAAAAACGGATGTCCATGGGATGAAAGGACAACAGAAGCAGCTTCAAAATATGGTAATTTAGAAAACTTAAAATATATTAAAGAAAATGGATGTAAATGGGATGAAAGGACAACAAGGGCTGCTGCTGTAAATGGACATTTAGAATGCTTAATATATGCACATGAAAATAAATGTCCATGGGATGAAAGGACAACAGAAGCAGCTGCAAAATATGGTAATTTAGAAAATTTAAAATATATTAAAGAAAATGGATGTAAATGGGATGAGAAAACAACAAGAGCTGCTGCTGGAAAAGGGCATTTAGAATGTTTAATATATGCACATAAAAATGGATGTCCGTGGGATGATAAAACAACAAGGGCGGCTGCTGCATTTGGGCATTTAGAGTGTTTAAAATATGCACACGAAAACGGATGTCCATGGGATGAATATACACCAAGGAGAGCTACTTTTAAAGGTTCTTTAGTTTGTTTAAAATATGCACACGAAAACGGATGTCCATGGGATGAAAATACAACAAGAGTTGCTGCTGCAAATGGGCATTTAGAATGCTTAATATATGCACATGAAAATAAATGTCCATGGGATGAAAGGACAACAGAAGCAGCTGCAAATGATGGTAATTTAGAAATCTTAAAATATGCTCATGAAAATGGATGTAAATGGAATGAGATGACAACCATGGTTGCTGCTGAAACTAATAGTTTGGAATGTTTACAATACGCACACGAAAATGAATGTCCATGGGATGAAAAAACAACATGGGCTGCCGCTGAAAATGGGCATTTAGAATGCTTAAGATATGCACATGATAATGGATGTCCATGGGATGAAAGGACAACAGAAGCAGCTGCAAATTATGGTAATTTAGTAAACTTGAAATATGTTAAAGAAAATGGATGTAAATGGGATGAAAAAACAACAAGGGCTGCTGCAATGGGACACTTGGAATGTTTAATATATGCACATGAAAACGGATGTCCATGGAATGAAAGCACAACTAGATATGCTGCTGCCTGTGGTTGTGTCGACTGTTTAATTTATGCTCATAAAAATGGAAGCAATTGGGATGAAGGTACAATAATTGCAGCTGCTATGCATGGTAATTTAGATTGCTTAAAATATGCTTATAAACAGGGATATGGTTGGGTTGAAGGTATCATGAGAGTGGCTGCTGCAAATGGACATTTAAACTGCCTAAAATTTGCCAAAGAAAATGGTTGTGAATGGGACGAAGGCACAACAAGAGAAGCTGCTGCGAGTGGTTATATTAACTGTTTGATATTTGCATATGAAAATGGCTGTAATTGGGATGAAGGAACGAAAAGTGCAGCCGCTGCAAATGGTCATTTAGACTGTCTAAAATATGTTCATGAAAATGGATGTATGTGGGACGAAAATACAACAAGACTTGCTGCAGCAAATGGTCAATTTTATTGCTTAAAATATGCTCATGAAAATAATTGTCCATGGAGTAGAGATACCATAAATGAAAATATTCGAAATAGTCATACTGATATAGTAAACTATGCCATCGAAAATGGCTGTCCTATTTAGTTTACTATTTTATATAAATTTATGTTGGCTATAATTTTTTACAATTTTTTAATTAAATTGTCTTAAGTTTTGATGGTATGTAATTTAAAGACTGCAATTAGACATTTTACTTTTTTATGCAATCCATTTTTTTAAAAATATCAAAATCTAATATCTTATATTAATATATTTTTTTAATGTTACAATAAACTTGTTATCCTGACTTCTACATGAAATAAAACATGGCTAGATAAGACCTAATTGAATTTGCACATTTTTTTACTTTGATGGTTTATTCCTTAAAGTAGAGAAATCATGGGATAGTTTTTTTTTTTAATATTGTAGTACACTTTAAGAGCTTTAATTTGGTATAAGCTAAAATAAAGCAGTTGTTCTGTAACATTTTCAAAAATCAAGTTGAAATAAAATTTTTACATGCATGGGTGGTCTTTTTTAAGAACTTTCTTTACTTAGGTTCTTCTTTAGCCTTACATTATAATATGGTAAGGACAGGCACGTAGCCAGAAAATGTTTATTGAAGGCCAACAATTTTGGGCCCTTGTATCATTTTCCATAATTTGTTTCCCATGAAAAGCTTGTGGGGGGGCTTCCTCCACTTCTCATTAGACAGTATCCCATACTATGAATCTTACAAGTTCAACATTTTACCATTGGTTGGTTAAAAACAATTTGTTTTCGTATAAAGTATATTAATTATTACAGTATTACAGTATTATGAAAAATGGATAGTACCTATAATTAAAAAAAAAAAAATACTTTCATCTTCACTATCGGGAAGAATTTTTCATATTGTGAAAAATAAATAAAATAATGATGTAAACATAGGCTGGTTTAATTTTTCAACTTTTAAGCTATTAAGAAAAAATAATTTATATCTAAATACTAGTAACAAATAAGTTATAAATATTTTTTTAAATAAATATAAATTATAAACAATGTAAAATTTATTTTATTTAAAATTAAAAACAATTCCTGCCTTTTTTTAGTCATATTTTTATTACTATTATTTAGAGCACGCAAATAACAAATTAACAAAAACAAATAAATTACATATTGTAACTACTAAATTATAAAAAAAGAAACAGATTAAAGATAAGATTTATCAAACAATTTTTCATAGAGTATTACTCTATCGAATTTTGTAATCAACTAGATTCTAATCAATGCAGATACTTGGTAGTTTGTTATCATTTGTTGGACCAGAGTTAAAAAAAATTTACCTGCACCACGTTTGCAGTAACTGCTATTCCATTTATTATTACGTCTAGAACGTTATCTTTTTCAAATAACGTTTTCTATGAATATAAAATTGTAAATACAGCCATAAAAATAACTGTATTACCCAATAGTAATCACAAATTAATAATAATTTCAATGTATATAAGGCCTAGCACGTTTTTGATAATTCATAAAAATAATTGAATTTTAAATTTGGGGCGGCCGGCCCTGGGTAACATTAAATATAAGGGGGGCTAGGCCCACTCATGTCTACGTGCCTAAGTAGGGATACTAAAAGAAAATCTTCTATCTCTTTTATTTTTTAATAAACTTTTATTTAAATTATTAATTTTTAAAAAAACGTTATATCAGTATTAAAATGTAGAAAAAAAAAAATTTTAAATGCTATTTTTTACGGTAACATAATTTTTTTAAATTTCTAAAATTGAGGGAGTTATTTCAATTTTTTGATATTTATAAGTCCAACTAGATAAAATTTGAGTTCTTTTGATGAACGTTTAGATCAACAAAATCGGTCCGGCGAGGGCCAAGAATTTTCAAAGATAGACATAAAAAAAAAACACATGGTTAAACTATTTATTTTGTATGAGATCATAGGACGTTAGTTGTGCACCGCATTATATTGCCGTCTTGTCTTAAGCCAGAATAGAAGAGCGGGTAAGAAGGGTAACCTGGTTAAATACCGGCTAACCACACATCCAATAGATGACGTGAAGACAATAATTACCTTAGATAGATACATAGATACATAGGTACATAGATAACAAAGCAAATATATTAAAAGTACTTCAATAAGTAACTTAAATTTAAGGAGAGTAGATTATATAAATGAAGTGTACAGGTACAAAAGCTTGTGGTAGGTTATTGTTTTTTACAATTGAATAGAGTATGGGTTGTGTAGAATCATCATCGATTTTATTTAATTGGTTTCATTAGCATAAAAAGAAATTATTATTTAATACATTTTTTTAAATATTATCATTCTCAAAATCTACATCGTTTTTACAAAAATGTTTTTTTTTAATGAGTGTTATAAATAAAGAATGGTGTTTGGTACAGAATACCTTTAGCAAAGATTTAGTAGACCAGTTTTTATAAACATCGTTAATTATATTATATCGTGTAACAGCTGATCTATAGCGTCTTGCTTCACCACCCAGAACGACAAATCGATGACCTCCGTGTCAATTGTCATCTGTGTACAGTTTATTGTAGCAAGTCAGTTAGTCAATTGTACCTCAAATACGTACCTGGATTTACACTCTAACTCGTCATACTCAAATGTTTGACACCATTACCACAAGATCTCATACAATCCACTCATCATTATCAACAACTTTATCTATTCAGCTGAGTTTATATTATTTTTAATGTTCTTTATTGTTTGTTTTAATTCAGATTAACTATTTTGTTTTATGCCGCTTCGATGGCCACTAGTATTTAAGGGCCCCCCGTTACCCCTTAAATTTAAGATACTCTGTAATGAATTTCTAATATATGTGGTTATTTGTTATTTTTTGTCTACTCTAGTTTACTTATTGGATGTATAGTTAGCCAACATCCCTCAGGTGACCCATTACCACTTCAATAATAACGATTTAAACAGGCTTAAGGTAAAACGGAATTTTAGTGCGGTGCACAACTAGCCACCCTACAGTCTAGCTGCCTCGTACAAAACAAATGGTTAAATGAGATGAAACGTAAACAACGAAAATGTATATGTGATCTTAAGGTAGCGCGTTCCGTATAAAGCTTTGGGATTATATTTGATAAAATCAAAATACTCTGATGAAAAACCTGTAGCTGAGGTGAAACTTGATGATGGAAATTCATTTCAAGTTTATCTACCCGCTAGATATATAATCAATCGAGAAGATTTAGAGAGAATTATTGATGAAGATCTCAAAAATNATTTTTGCATACGGTAGTCATTTTCACCATGAAGACAAGTCCAGAGGTCAAATTTTTTTTTTTCAAATTAAAGTATATTACATTAGCTTTAATTTAAGGTATATATAAAATTGTCAGTCTTTCCGGAACATTTTCAAAAGTTAAGTTGAAAAAGTTAATTTTTTGTAAAAAAGTTACCATTTTGAAACCCCTTCCTTTGGGCTTGTTAAGTGTCAAATGTTAACAAAAATATATAAAATGATAGGTGAATACTTAAGGTATCTAGAAAAAAAAATTATATTGATTCGGTCATTTTTAAAAAAGTTATGGCAATTTTAAGTAAAAAAAATTGAAAAAATATCGAAAATTAGCGATTTTTAAATTTGTAATTTTTTGGGGGATTTCCCCCATTTACGGGGAACGAGGAAAATTTTTTCAATTTTTGAGGGTAATGTCTTCAACTAGATACGATTTGTGATCTTTTGACATATTTTTCATCAAAATCGGTTCAGTGAGAGCTGAGATTGAGCGTATACAGACACAAAAAAAAAAACACATCATAGTAAAATTAATACCTTCTCAGCTTCGCATCGAAGCTAAAAATAAACACATCATAGTAAAACCAATACCTTCTCAGCTTCGCATCGAAGCTAAAAAATTAATGTGAAATTCTAAACTTTAATGACTTTCAAAAAATGGCGCTTTTTTTGTGAAAATTGGCGTTTTTGAGCTCACTGAAAACCATTAAAAAGTTATTATTTTATTGTGATTTTTACATGTGGTATTGTATAGTGTATAATATATGTTTCAACTAAATTTCAAATATTTAAAACAATTATCTTGCGATTTAGAGGCCTACAAAGTTAGAAATTTTATAAAAATAGTGTATTCTAAGTGCAATATCTCTGCAATATTCTAACTACTAGAACGGTAACCGTTGCGTCTTTATCCACGCATCAAATTCGACCTTACTACCCTCTGCCTGAATAACGGGTAAAATTGGTTTATTGTTGCCTTATATCAACTTGTGTTGCTCCAACATTGACTATCTCGAAGAATATGCTTTTTAGGCTGATCATCAAAGCTGGTGAAGCAACATTTGCAAGTGTATATGCGGCCTTGGTATCTGGTTTTTTGGAATATATGATGAGCCGTCGAGGGGCGTATACTTGTATACGCTGATCATATGACCGTCGATATGCGATAGAATAAAGCCGCTACCCCTTCCCGTGTACACGTCATCAGTTACCGAGTACACGTTATCGTCGACCATAACTTCAAAATTTACATCAACTGCACACTCGATATCCGTATCAGATAGCAATGCCCTAGCCCATGTCTTGAAGGTACGGTCCTCGGGCGGTACTTCCGATCGCGGTATATAGTATGAGGCCTCCAATTTGAGATTGTACTTGATCGGGCGGTTATCAGCGAATTAAGCGAGTTTGTCGACCAACTCGGTTTTAACAGTGCGCAAAAAATCCCGATAGCTCGCGAACTTTTCCACGTTCTTGCGATAAAACCAAACGCCCCCCGCTCCAACGCGGAACCAATCACAGTGAAATCGCGGGTATCCGTCAATTACATGCATAACCTTTTTGATCTAACCGCGCTGTTGTTATCCCTATTACGTTTAGCTGCCTGACGTGACGAAACAGATATATACAAGGTAGCTCTAATAAAAAGAAATATAAATGATTTATTTATTGAAATAATAAAAAAAAATATAAACTGAATAAATAGTAGCAGTTAGTTTCGTCTATAAGCCATCTTAAGGTTACTGTATAAATGATTTTAAAAAAAAGTAGAGTAATAATTGACCCAATACAATAAGGTATTGGAATTATTATATTATTTTAAAATTTAAGAGATATAAAAGTATATTAAAAAGTTAATAATTGTAAAAATCTATATATTTGGCACAGAAGACGTTTGCTGGTTCATGGTTTTTTATTTGCGTGTGTAAAATATTAAAATTTATTAAAATAATAAATTTTTAGTTTTTAAAAAGACAACTGTTACGTTAACGTCAATGAAACGCGTATGTGATAGGATAAAGAGCGTTTAACCAGTTATATAGTAAAATAATACAATGCAAAGGCGGGAAAAACGACAACGTTGCCTTTTTAACACGCTTATATTAGTTTCACCTGTATGTAAGTATGTATGTATGTTTGTAACTCTCCAAACGCTACGCGTTATCGCATATTCCGTCGTCTAGACTAGACTGTCATAACGCATTCACCCCACCCCACGCCTCGCTCATTACACGCCGGCAATACTATTCCTGTATAAATTTATTTTGGGTTATCGTACCCGTACACGCGTGCTTGTCATCAATATTATATATATACAGGGTGGCCCACCACTCACTGACAACTTAAATAACTTTTGATCCAGTTAATATTTTTAGTTGATTTTTTTTTTAAATAATAGTTATACGTTAGGTCTATAGCTATATCTCAATAATTAATTTTTTTACATTTTATTAAAAATATTAATTATTTTTAAATTTTAAATAAAATGTAAAAAAAAAATCTAAGATAGCTATTTTGTAGAGTAGAATTTAAGAAAAATTTTAGTAAAAAAATATCTTATTAATATTCAGTAGTAAATATTCTGTAGCGTTTTGAAGTTTGTAAAAATTTGAATTTTCATGTACTATTTTACGGTTATAAACATTGAAATACGTATTGAGAAAAGGACAGAAGAA